ACATATATATATATATATATGTATATATATATACATATATATACATATAAATATGTGTGTGTGTAAGTTAGTTATTTTTTTTTTTTACGATGTGCAAGCTAACAAGACTTTTCTCCCCATTTGTTATTGTCAAAAAGAAGAGAATAATATAATATTATAATTTTTTTTCGACAAAAGGTAGAGTTGTACATAAAAAAAATTATAAATATCAAGAAATCAAGTGATATATTATAGTGTATTTAGATAAGTCAAATAACGAAATGAAAGAATCATAGTAAACAATCTTGATTCATAAAAAAAATTCATAAGTAATAATTTCAAGAAATCAAGAGAAACCACGATTCATACGAATAATTTTCCTCTTTAGTAAATGATAAAAAGAAAAAGAGAACAAAGAAGATATCTTGATTCACATAAAATAAATTTAAAGTTATAAATATCAAGATCATAATTTATTTGCATAAGTCTCGTTTTTAGTAAATGTTATAAGGAAGAAATCATACAAGATAAAAAAAAAATCTAGATTGCCATAAAAGATATCTAAATCAAAAGAAGGTTCATGATTGATTAGAAAAATCTTATTTAGATTTAAATCATTAAATCATCAAAATCATTTTCATAGTTCAAGAGATTCATAAAAAAAAGTGATACAAATAGATTCATCAATCTCTTTTTTAAAACTCGATAAGATAGAGATTGAGAAATTTTCAAGAAAAATACTTTTCTCTTTTTTAGTTGTTTGAATTTATATGATTTATTTCATATAAACATGCCTTTGTCTTTTATGCCAAATAAAAACTTGTATCATTGTTTAAAATCGAAAAAGCAAATTTCATCATAAAAATCATTAAGATCAATAAACCATAAATCATAAAAATCTTCGTTACTTCAAATCATCGTGCATAATTAAATCATTAAGCATGATTTCATTGAACATAAAATATTTTTCATTAAAATCATTTTGTTTCGATTAGTGAGCTTTATGAAGTGTGTTAGATCTCCAATCATAAGCCTTGAGCATCCATTATTAAAATTTTATTTTTACTCCTAGCTTTCTATTGTAGAGATGTCTACAAGAAAGGTATGTTTCCTTTAAGTATCCATTTGATTTTGGGTCCCTCATGGTTGAATTTACCTATCTTGTTTTTTTGACATAATATCATTTATGGTTCCTTTATGAACCCAAACTAATTTATGCAAGTCATATCTTTTAAATAAATATTTATATACAAAATGACCATGTCTACCATAAAAATTACATTTATTTTCAAGCGAAACATTTAATATGGGTCCTTTAACAAATGTTGTTGGCCTTGTGTATTACTACTTACAAAACTAATTCTTTTTTTTCTACGAACATGATTCTTATTGGCAAGAATCATGTTTAAAGATTTACTATCAATTTTAGATTTATTTAACGTTTGTTGTAATAACAAAATTTTCTTTTTACATGAATCTCGTTCTCCACATTTAGTGCAAGGAGTTAATATACAATTATCATGCTCATTTTTAAAAATTTTAAAGTCACTAGTAAGAGAAGCATGATCCTTTTTTACCACTTTATATTTTTTACCAACTAATTTAAAATCATCATATAAATTATAAAAAATATTTAATAATTCATCATAAAGTAAAAGGGTTTGGTTGAGTCATTTATCTCATCGTCGAGAGCCATCAAAGCGTAGTTCGCCATTTCGTCTTCGGTTTGCTCTTCGTCTTCGGATACACTTGATTTATCCCAAGTTGCCTCAAGTGTTTTCTTTTTCTTTGACAGCATCTTCTTTTTAAGTTCATTTTTATTCTTAGATTCTTGTTTTTTAAATTTTTTAAATTTTCTTGTGAGGAGTTTAAAGTCATCGTCACTTAAACTTTCGTTCGAGTGGTCTTCTTTTTTTCTAAGTGTCAAATCCTTTCTTTTCTTTGGAAGGTTGTTCTCATGTTTATCAAGTTTATCATGTATCTTGTATATCATTTCATAGGTCATTAATGACCCAATAAGTTCTTCAAGCGAAAAATGTCCTTTGCTTCTTGTATTGTACTTACTTTCGAATCCTAATTTTTAGAAAGAGATCATAAAATTTTATTAACAAGTTCAAGATTCAAAAAATATTTGCCAAGGGCTTTTAACTTTTAAACTATTGACGACATCCGTAAAACGGGTGTACATGTCAACAATAGTTTCGCTTGGCTTCAATCGAAATAATTTAAAATCATGCATCAAAAGATTTATTTTAGACTCTTTAACTCTATTTGTGCCTTCATGTGTAATTTCAAGAGTGTGCCAAATATCATGTATAGTTTCATAAATCGAAATACGATTAAACTCATTTTTATCTAAAGTGCAAAATAAAGCATTCATATTTAAAAAAAAATTTCTTCTCCAAATCATTCAATTCGTTCATTAGATTTGAAGGCTTTAAAAAAATTATTTTTAATGATATTCCATAAATTGAAGTTCATAGAAAGCAAAAAAATTCACATTCGAGTTTTCCAATATGTATAGTCCGTCCCGTTGAACATAGGAGGACGAGTGATAGCTAAACCATCTTGATTGCCAATAAAAGTCATTTCTCTTTGGTGTTAAACCAAATAAGAAAAACCTTGGGGGGTGGGGGGGGGGGGGGGTGGCGGGTGGGTTGGGTTGGGTTGAATTAGTACTTTCAAAAAATCACGTCGGTTCAAAAATTCTAGTTCGATGAAAACTGATATCGGAAATGTGTTTAAACTTAGAGAGTACGTTCGTAAGTGTAGTGAGAATAGTAAGTAAGTAAATTAGTTTGCAATATGAGAATACAAAACAGAACATAAATACAAACTGAGTACACCGGATTTATAGTGGTTCGGTCTTCGTGACCTACGTTCACTCCCGATTCCTCTTCACTCGAGGCCATTGGTTTCCACTACCAATCTTCTTTCTAATGGGTGAAGATTAACTACCCTTACACTCTTTTTCCTTTTCACATGTTCACAAGAGAATCTTTACACCTCTCTTTTACAAGTGTTCCCACACACACATCCCTTAGGACTATCACTTAGCTCTAGGAGGTGGGACTCTATACTTTAAAAGATTATAACTTTGGAATCACAGAGTTTTATTCTACTTTAAAAATTAGAGCTAAAATTTGAATCCCCAGGTTTTCGAGGTACTAGGCGGTACCATCGCCTACTAGTTTAACATTGGGCGGTACCACCGCTTGACATAGTTTGGGAGATTATATCTTGGCGATACCACCGCCTGACAACATGAAAAAGTGTGCTCTTGACTTTTCCAACTCATAGGTGGTTCAACCTATAATTGAGTTACTGAATGAGCTTTTCACTTGGCCCAAAACAGACCCAACTTAGGCCCAATGAGCCCCTAATTGAGTTAGTAGGGTTAATCCTAAAACCAACTCAATTACAATCATGATTACTTCAATCTAAACACAATCGATTACAAACAGAATACTATATTGTCCGGCATGTCATTGGTTCATCCGACGCTTCGTCTTCTCTTGTGACATATTGCACAATCAACATGTTGACCTCTGCAGCATCCGATCTCCTTAGTGCAATGTCCTTCTAGCCCGATGCCCAAACTCATGGCATGAAGCTATCTACCGATACGTCGACCAATCCTTCGGCTCGACGTCCAATCTCTTGACATGTTCCGGCCTAACATTTGATTTCACTGCTTTAATCGATTTGTCTTTCCCTGATTGAAGCTAGTCCTGCATCACTCAAAACGTAGATTAGATCGTTAACCCATCAATTGATTTCATCATTAAAATTTGAGATTTAACAAGAGAAATCATGGTGGGGAGGATCGCAGTAGATGAGATCCTGTGTTGCTGACAAAGGGCACTTCAGGGCTACAGTGAGCGAACGCTAGTGTAGAGCGATAACGAGAGAAGACAATCACTGTTCGTCGAGGAGGAAAGTAGTGATCTGCTCAACGATCGCCGATGGTGGCAACATTTGCGCTTCCTTTGGGAGTGTTGTCCATAGGGAAGAGAGAAGAAAGAGGGATGCAGCACTGTCGGGAAAAGAGAAGAGAGAAGGATGCGGCACTAAAGGGAAGGGGCCGCCTTGTGCATGTCATTGATCGTCAATCATCGGTCGCCTTGCACCCACTTGGGAGGAGGAGACCTTCGATAGGAGATGTGGCACGTGCCTTTGGAGCAGCAGAAGCAGTAGCAAGAGTAGATTCTCGAGTAAGCGATGCAAGCTTCCATGGTCTCGGTGCCAGTACAACAAGAGGAGGTGCTCCTCGTGTGCAGCTAGCAATCTACAAGGTGTGTTGGGGATCAAGAAGCTGCAAGGAAGCCAATGTACTACAAGCCATAGATGATGCAGTGGATGATGGCATAGACACCTTGTCATTGTCAATCAGTGGGGATGACTAAGTTCCACTTCACAGATCCCTCATCAAATGGCAGCAGAGTTGGTGAAGATTTCGAAGACCACGCTACTATTACATTCACCCTAGGAGCTATGATGTCAAGCTATGAGGATGTTTAAAGTGGTAGAATTTGATCCTCTCGATGCAACAGAAGGCATCGATGAGCAGCTGAACTAGTGCCGGGTGGTGGGCTTGAAAGGTGTGAGTGTTGGTCAGAGTAACGATGAGGATAGGGCGGGATTCCTTGATGTCATACTGGAGACGTTGCTCCTACTGTACGTAGCTCAGGATCTCATGAGCCCACACCACCTTGGTGGGGTCCGGGTGCGACAAGGGACGCACGCATATGCCGTGACAGCCGGCGATGACACGGCTAAAAGCAGTAGTGGTGGGATGAGGGGGAGGGAGTTGGGGTGGCGGAGGGGAGGGGAGGACATCGGGGGTTGGCTCCATGCTTGCCACTATTCTCCTTAAAAGCTGCATGAAGGCGGCCAATGAGGGCATCAAGGGAGAGCTCCTCTACTGGAGGAAGAGCCTCAAGGGATAAGGGAAGAGGCGGTAGTGGAAGTCGCCTCATCCAGGCGACCAAGACCCATAGTGGAAGCCACCTTGTCTATGCAATCGGGACCAATGATTTGTTTGACGGAGTAGTGACTATGGATCTCCAGAGTCCGGTGATGGGCTTTGCCAACTTGACTTCTACAATAGGAGTCAAACTAGAGAGAGAGAGAGAGAGAGGAA